AGTATTTTCTCACTGCTGGAAGTGTCTGTCCTTGTGAGACAACCCATGTGAAGTACCTAAATCTTTTTTCTAGGATATGGATCTTGCAGAAAACTTACTGGTTCATGACCAATTGAATTGAAAACAGACTCCAAGACGGAGACCACATCGGTGTTGGTGGTGAAGTGATTGATCCCAAGTAGACCCTTCAGTTGTTGGAGACCAATGACAATGGCTGCACCAGCCATGAATCCTACAATGGCAGCATGTGAAAGAAAATCCACAAGAAAGCCCAACCTGTTAAGTACCATAAAAAAATTGGTCTATTTGTTTGGATGAACAAGGTTCCAGAAAAGAACTAGCTAAACAATCCAAATACATATTGAAAGGTTCCATCAAAGAAGGTCACAAGGAAAACAAGTTTTCTGTAAGAAGCATACCTAAAGATTCCAAAAGCAGCTTGGAAAATTCCAGCAAAGAAGGTCACAGTGAAGATAAGCTTTCTGTAAGCAACAGGATTGGCCACAGGATCTTCTATTTTCTGAACCAAGGAGGCCAGCAGCATGGAAACCACAGCCACTGGCCCAATAGCTAGCTCTCTTGAACTCCCCATTAGAGAATAAACCAGAGGTGGCACAATGCTTGTGTCTAAATGCAATAACCCAAATGAAATAAACAAACAACAAGAAAAATTAATACCAGAGAATGAACAGAAATCTGCAGATAAAGAAACCAAACTAAACAACTTACACAGGCCATATTGAGGATCAAGTTTTGCAAGATTAGCATATCCAATACTCTGCCAGAATTCATAAAAAGACACAAAGAGGGAAGAAGAATATCATATTAGAATGACAATTATAATGTTTTTCTAAGTATAAGTTAAGCTAAAAGACTTACCTGAGGAACACTAAGGCTAGCCAGTGTTAAGCCTGCCATCACATCGTTTTTAAACTTTGATGCCTTGTATTTCCTTCCCCAGCTAAGAATCGGAAACAGACCCCGAAAGAACGAAAACACACGGCTAGCTGGAGTTTTCTGCTTAGAAGAGTAGTTATTTCCTACAGGAAAAACATTGTTTTTGATTCCATGAAGGAGCTGCTGCCATAGACCTGGTGGCTCAGGAGAATTGAGCAACCACTGAGCTCTCTCGACCCGACCGGTATTGTCCTCAACATGATGCGGATGCTGCTGCAGCTCCACACTGAATACCTCAGTTGGCAGAGAACCCATGGTGGTTAATTTGAAGTGTTTGGGTGAACTCTCTTCAGTAGCATATTATGTACCTGCAGTTCTAGCTTACCAACCCATGACAGAGATATGTGATTGTAATGTAGTCATTAAATTTGAATATATATATATATACAAGTGCTTTAAGAAAGATTTAACAGAATCATAGAAGTCAATACATATTGATGATGTCACATTAATTGCAGCTAGCGTAGTACTCATAAATTGAACTCCTCAGAATTGATGATGCTCTCATTCATATGATTGATGATTTCTAGGTATGTATGACCCATGTATTTTAATATTACTATTGTTAATATGTTCTTTTTGTTGGGGTTTGGAGCTCAAAACCTCATAGCCAGTATCCAAGTTATTGCTGGTAGAGTGGATAATACAAAGAGTCATCTCATATCCCTGCAAAATCAACTCCCATTAATGATGGGAAGTCACTAGATTTTCTACTAACAGCATTGTCGTTACATTCATAATGTTTGTGAGAAGGTAACTAGTATGGCTATACAGTAAACCCTTTTACTAAGAAACAAAGTAAATGGACAGTTATAAAAGGGGAAAAGTCACTCATTTATTGAGCAGAATTGTCTGGTCAAAACTCAGCTGAAATCTAGTAAACGACTAGTTTACTGACTTAAGCATCGGTGACTTAAGCATCGGAGAGTTTTCGATGACACGACAAGGAGAACCGTTATTGTGGTTTGAATGATCTAATCTAGCTGAATTACAGGTATATACTGCTAATTTCTTAAATGGGAACCTTACTTTTCTTCTAATTTATCCGACTAACCAGCATTTGCTTATACATATAAAACAAAGCTCTGTGGCCTTAGTAGTTAAAATCAACAGAAGCTAGCCCGTGAACTCTCTTATGTTTTCCTGAATGAGAGCAAACAGGAGTTTGTCTGTTTATGATCCCATGGCAGGCTGTTAGTACAGATGTTCTCCATAGAAAGCTATTAGTACAGGTGTTCTCCATAGAAAAAGCAAGCAGCTTCCAGCAGGGAAAAAAAAAAAAAAACAACAACTTGTACTGTTTAATACCTACAACTCTAAAAAGATTCATGATCTTTTGAATTACTGCATAGCTCATGGTGTCTTAGAAAGAGGAAAAAAGAAAAAGTTTTTTCCCAAAGTACAAAGACCAAGAGACAATAGTACAGGTAATGCAGGTACAATCTATTTTTCTCATCATGAAGGATCAAATAGGTAGATTGAACAATATCTCCCACTGTAATTGTTTGGCTAAACTACACCAAGAGCTCCAAGACCAACTTAAAACCCTTTTCTCATGACCTAGTACCTACCTCAAATGACCAGAAAGTCCTAATAATAATACCCAGAAGAAATGGACAGATATTGACCTGCTAGGCTCCATGGCTTGGTGTACATGTAGATACTATCTAACTATAATGTTATATTATTGAAGAAGGTTGGTTTGCTCCTACTTTTCATCAACATCTACCATCCCATTTGCAGCATATATATAGTGTGAATGGTGGTGTCATAATGGTCCCTTAATTTGATTCCCCATATGATATTGCAGAGTTAACCCAGCAGACATATTTGACAAACCTACCATAGTTAAGCAATCAGAAACCGAAAACCATCACCTCCTAAGTGCTTAATGTGTTTCGCATCTCCATATAACATGATTCTCATCATGTACATATCTTTCTTTTTTACCAATCATGCAACACGCTTAGACCAAGACCGGATCATCCAGTCTAAGGCCCAAACACCATTGATAATTAGAGAGCATAGTGTTATATGTACCGCATTTACTAATGACATCTCTCATGTAGGTGAGATCTACTATGCAATTGGTCTCAACTACGTGAGATATTCGGTCAATGAAATGCTTATTAGTAAATGTAGCACAAATAGTTTATTATTAGATACTAATATCTAAAGATTACACACAATTATTTTCCCATTTCTTAGGTATGGTTTGTGGAACACCAAACTATACTTGGACAAGGACTTATTTGGACTTTTCACAAGCAAGAATTGGATGAAAACCGATGAACTTGGCCATCAACATGTGAATAAAGCAGCAGCACCATCATGTAGTTGGGATATATATGAACTTGTGCCCACTTCTGAGAGAATACAAGATTGTATGGAGGAGGTTGGTCTAGATATGACTTTGTGCTATGGTCCCCTTTTCTGTCAATCATAGGTCAATAGAGTCCTCCAACATAGTAGAGTTTAGCACTTCACGACCGACTTCCCAGTGGCCACACCACCTTTGATTCTTGTTTTTGTGCAGCTTTTTTGACCTCTCATGACCACATTAATTCCTAATGCAGTTGAAGCCTTTGTCCTTATCATTTGAAAGCTGCATCTTCTTTATCTGTAAGGAAGCTTATATTTGCTTTTATGAAGTTGCTTGCAATTTGTTCAGTCTCTCAAAGTAGTGCAGAATGTGCTAAAATCCACTTGGCATACGAAACCTAATTCCATGTTCTTTTGACGCATCGTAAGAATCTATTATAAAATTAAGAGAACCTCAAAGTTTACTGATAATAATAAAAGTAATAACACCTCTAATCTCTTATCTAAAGTTGATTTCAATACTCCCTCAAATCCTAGAACCACAAGGGATGATAGTTAACTAGAAAATTACAAAAATCAAAATTACCCTTAAAACTTAAAATGCTAACTTAACCTAGAAAACCATGTTAATTTGACTCTTCTTGTCGTTTTCTTGGGGGTCATGGCACCAAATCGGAGTTCGAAGAGTCCAAACCTGCAATAGTTTGATTTTATTTGTTTTTGGGCTTACGCATGTCCAGCTGCTCATCGATCATCTCGGCTAATGTTCTACCTCATCTTTTAAGATTATTGATTTCTTGATTACTACGTATCTTGCATGTTATATCGTTCATACTATGAATCTGAATCACACATATATAACATGATTTGACACAACAATGGCTTTATACAACTCACAATTTTACGACTTAACATTTCTCTTTTTTCAATTGAGACAGTCCCTCTTAGGCTGATCAACATGGAATTTTTTTTTTTTCTTCTGGGAATTGCAAGATTTATCCGTCGTTTAGCTTATTCGATAATTATTGCTCTTTTTAACAAGTAGGTCCATGCATTCCCAATATTTCAAAGATGCCCTGTGTTGCAATTGATTGTTGGTAGATAGTGGAAGTCAATTTTTAAAACACAGTAGTGTTTCATGCTTATTTGGAGGAGAAAATGGTTCTCCTTCCTGAGAAAGTTACAAACTAAATCTGGAGATGAAACCCTTTTGCCTCTCTCATATGCTTCAAGCTCATGATCTTGGACACAATTGAGGGAAGATTCACAAACGTGATGGGTAATATTAGTCCCCTTTTTTGGGTGCTTTTACTAAAAGTAAAAAAGCACTTATACAAGCCTTTGAAAAGCACTTAAAAGTTAGAAGCATTGTACCTTAGTTAACCTAAGCATGTCTGAGACTGACTTTGATCAGAAAAGAAACTAAGCTCATAATGCTTCAGGCCTCCACTTTATAATGGATTTTTTTTTAATAAATTGTTAATTCCAGCAGCAAAAAGAAGAAGAAAAAAAATCCATAAGGAAAAGTAGGCAGAAGAAAGATCAGAACTGAACCAGACTGGATACAAGCAGAAGCCTACAAAGGCTAGATATAAAAACGAAACGACAACATTTTTCCTACTTTAAAACACTACAAAAGTTTAGGCTATCACTTGTCCGGGATGTGTCTTTTATAACCCCCCATGTACAATGATTCTTTGTTTTTTTGTTTTTTTAATCAAATGGCGGAGAAACGGTTCAAATTTTTGAACGTCTTTCAGCATTGAAAAAGATATGCAACAAGATTAATTTTTAGTTGGAATACATACAATAATTTAAACCATGCATTTGAGAGAGGAAATGAACTTGAAATCTAGATGAGAGTTGGAATTTCTAAATTGACATACACCAATTCTCTTGTTTTTAAATAAACGTGTTTAAAAAATTGAGAATTTGGGAGTGATCAATTCCAACTTTAAATTTCATTTAAATAGTCATTAATTCTTCAATTTCAAGAGGGTGGAGTATTAAGAAGGAAAAAAACATTAGCCAGCCATCACCACCAATACCACCATCATTGTCGTCACCACTGCCACCACTTACCACTAGCACCCCCACCATCAATATCACACATGATACCACCGCCACTACTAAAAGAAGATAAATGTTAAATTTTCATGTTCAAATTCATTAAACTTTTAAATTAGCCAAACAAGAAACTACACGAATTCTAAACACTAATTCATCTTCATCATTTTGAATTCTATCATTTGTGAAGTGCTTCATACCTTTAAATTTTCTCATTTAAACAGTGTATAATTGTGATATTTCTTTTTTGATAAATTAAAGTTTCTCATAATTCAATTTTGATTTTAAATGATTTTAAAAGAGTTATAAAGTTGATGGAGTTTAATTGAATTTAATTAAGTTTGACTGAATTCTATAAACTCCACATAGATTTTGACTGAATTCGTGTATAGATTTTAACTCAATTTTAGAGTTTTATTATTGATTTTAGTAGATTTTAGGGGTGATGACGGTGGTAATGGCGATGGATGTGGCGATAGTGGTTTGTGGGTGCTGGTAGGGGAGGTAGTGATGGAGGAGGTGGGGGTGATAGTGGTGGAAGTGGGAGTGGCGGCGACGACTGTTGCGGCGATGGTGATGATGCTGGCGGTGGTTATGGTGGTGGTGACAATAGGGGTGATGGTGGGGTTGATAGTGGGGGTGGTAGTGGGGGTAACGGTGGTGCTGGGGCTGGTAATGAGGGCAACGTGGGTGGTGGCGGCAGCGGTGGGTGGTGGTGGTGGTGCTTAGGGTGGCGGCGACAACGATGATGACTTTGGTGGTGGTGGCGACGATGATGATGCTGGCCCAAGCATGATAAGGGTCCCACTGTTAGTTTTTGATATTATAAAAAAGGAGTAGCAAAAGCTGACTCCAACAACCATTGAGGAGTTGCCATGTGGCGCTATCAAATGCAACATTCCAACAGCTAGTTGCTGGCCCATTTTTTTTCCTCGTAACTCTATGATTGGTTCACTCCTCCTCCCTAGTTGTTTTTAACATTTCCAAAAATAAATTTTTTTGTTGCTTTTCTTAAGCTTTGATTTTATCACTAATAAAATAATAATAAACTAAAATAACAAGTTTTGAGTTTTAGTCCCTAACCCCTCGCCACTGGAACCACAAAAAATTTGAGAGGCTAGATTTTGTGAATAGTACCATTTTGAGGGGCTAAAACAGCACCTTGCCCCTTGCCCTTGCATTAGACATGCTCTTATAACGACACAAATGGGTAGACAACATGTTGCCTAGGTTGTTAAAGTACAACTTTGCATATTCTTTTTTAGATTCCCATGTTCCCTTTGTAGGTATGTTTTACTCTTTATTTTTACTTTTATGGCAATCAACAGATGTCACGCAGATGCAAAAATATAGCAAATATAAATAAATCCAACAACACACGAATGATTTATATTAATTCGACTTGCACTTCTACATCCAATTCGAAGGCGGAAATTCACTAATAACCAAAGGAGATTACAAAATAATGTTTAAGCTCTCACAAACCCAAATCCCACATACACCTAAATCACTCACACTCTCTCTTCTTTGGTACCTTATGTTTGTAGTAGTTTTACCTCTCTGTAATAGCTTTTTTTGGGTCTCTTCATTGTGAGCAAGAATATGAGATTCTCTTACACCAAAAAAAGAGAATTCTCTCACAAATTGGTTGTTCTTTCTCAACACCTTGAGTAGACAAAAAAAAAACTTAACTTGTTGAAGAATATAAAGTTCCACATTGAAAACTTGACTAAATAAATTACAACTTATAATAAGTTGTTCCACTACGAATAACACCTAGGCCTTTTGTGATAAAACTCCACACCTACTGGGCTTTGTAGGTGGTTAAGTTGGGGACACTATCAGTGTTGATAGTAGTGGGTCGGTGGCCCGTGTCTCTAAAATTTAACATGGTATCAGAGCGGGACCCCGACCTAGACCTAGACTCCAACCTAGATCAACCACACCGTGATTAACCAAAAATAGTAAAATAGTACTATTCCTGTATCATGTAAGTGTTTCTCCCTCAAATGAAAATATGATGGCTAATATAAGTGGGGACAAATGACTAACTTTAAAATCCTAAGCTACCAAGCAAGTGGGCCAAGTGCACTTTCTCAAGGCCACACAAATATGGCCTTTCTCATTCCCATAAAAATGGGCTTTCAAATTTAAGCCGAATTTCAACATTTGGAATGCCTTCAATCTCAACTCTATTTCCTTAATTTTCTCATCTTGGAGGATATCCAATTAGAAAAAATATTTGGTAACTAATATCGAATAAAATTGGAACGATACAAAAAAAATCCAATGAACCAAACACAAATAAGTTTCAAGTTACGGTCCTTGTCGATTAACTACAAGTCTACAACGTCCTTGAAATTTACAAAAATGAGAGGAGGGGCACGACTTCTCTCTCGTCCGTCAAAAGTGGTGATGTTTCCAATTAGGGAAAGGCCACGAAAAATGAAAGACAACCATATGCAAAATTCTACGGGAGGTATTAATCTTCAAGTTCATTTGGGGTGAAAAAAGTCATCTCCAAGACTCCAAGTGCTCTCAACTCACCTGATATAGGCTCATAATTTATAGTCAATTCATGGCCAGCAACTTTCGGTCATCGACATGAGATGATATCAATTATCAACATTTATTTTGACACAAAAAATAATCTCTCATTTGCCGCCATCACAATGTGAACCGTATAACTTGAGTTTAGACTTTCTATGAAAAAAAACAAGTGAAATGACAGATATCTGCTTTGGGTAGGTTTCCCCTGTGAGAGTCAACATTGATATGTTTGCCCTAAACAAGCTCCACACTCGGATTGGCCAAAGGTTGACCACATTGACAATGTGACATAATTCTGGAAATAATTTTTTTCTAGGATTTTGGGGAGAGATTTTAATTTTGTCATCAATTCATTGAAGAGCAGGTTAAGGGGCCCAACCCATAAAACACAGCAAAAAATTCTCGAACAAGAGGACAAAGATTTGAACTCGGAAAATACCACTACACTAATAGCTAGCTGAGCGTGACTCTCGAGATTATCTTCTTAGTATAATTCATTCTCGTCAGCATATGTAGAATTCATGACTCCATGACAAAATTTTACCGTTACACTATCCGACAAACATTTTTTGTGTGGAAACTATAAGTCATTACTTTTTAGATATTCATTTGTAAAATATAGTTACTAATTCGATTCTTTGATTTAGAAAAGTTCCTCATGAATTTACATCACAATCAACGTGGAAACACTAAGTGGATAGACTGCTAGGACGACCCTTGGTTTTAAAGGAAGGCGTAGACTTGATTCTCACTCACATCACATACATATATATGGTGTGGAATGAAGCCTCTCTGACTGACCGACTATTTTGCAGATTGATCTCTTTCAGACCAGCTGTTAGCTGTACACAAAGAGGAAATTTTTTCATTAGATTTCAATTTTTTTTTCTTGTAAGCAAATGAATTTCATTAAATTCCATTCTTTGATTTTCCTGAATTATTATAATTGAAAAAAAAAAACTAGATGTATAATCACCTGTCTCTTTATTAACAAAATAAAATAATGAACTTGTGTCTGTGAGAAAAGGAATTTAATTAAAGAGGAAAGGTTATCATATATATAGTTATAATTTAATTTGAAAGCTATTGTTTTTTTTTTATTTTTGGAATTTGAAAACTATTGTCATTGTCCAAGTCTAAGTCTAACATTGAAGCAGGCGACTCTACCCCATATGAAATACGCGACCCCTTCTTTTATGAACCCACCTTTTTGAATTTTCATGGGGCATTGGGTACAAATTCATTATAATTATGAGAATGTGAAGATAAAAAGTCTCACATTAGAAAGTTAGAAAACCCTAAAAAGACTTAGAAGGAGTTGAGCTACTCCACACAGGGGCGATTAATTTTGGGTGGTCTCGCATGTTTAGTAATACTTATATTTTGGTTTCTTTATGTTTTTTAAAGAAAAATATCAAGAAAATATATTAGAGTTCGAGAAAGCTGATATTCGAGAATAAAATTTTAAAACTATTGTAAACAATTTATACTATAAATTTTGACGCCTAATTCAATCCATTGAAAATAAATGTTCTAAGTTGAAAAGCTCCATGCAATAATAGAACACGGGGGCAAATTCCATTCTATAAACTTCGGCCTTCTATTTGTCAAAAACTTTGACTTGAAACTTTAGGATTTGTACCTTGAATATCTAAAAAGCAAGTACCATTTCTTGACCGAAGAAAAAAAAACATAAGTACAGTTGAAAATACAATTTATTCTATCTTTCTTGATAAAAATTACTTCTTTAGAAAGGAGAATATAGGGGTGGTTGCATTATATAACAATCCATGTAATAATAGATATTTATTTTATTTCCGTCTTTATTATTGTTTATTTTATTGTTAGGTGAAATATCAACTTCTCGAGAATAAGAGAGAGAGAGACATATGTTTTCTTATGTCTGAAATATCGTAGGAAGAGAATGAAAAGCTATCAAAGATAGTAGATTTTTATTCTAAAAAATGCAAAAGCAGCTAGAGCCCTTGGAGAACCCAAAGAAACGCAAGCGAGATCACGAGAGGAGTTCAAGAGAGAAGTGTGTGATCTTTGGAGGCTCAAGTGATGAGCCCCAAGAAGCGATCCGTGAAAACCCAAGAGAGGATATCGAGAGGGCCAAACTAAAGTCTCCTCCTGTGGAAAAATGTAGCTTTGATTTCTTTACTTTAGAAGTGAATGGTGTGGTTGATTTTTGTTGTTGTTGTTGTTATTATTTTTTTTAATGTGGATAATTGTAATGTGGTTTTTTCTATTAATTAATAATTATAATATTTTCATTTTATTTTATTTTAGTTCTATTTTGTATAGAATTTTTTTACCTTTTAGATGTTGACCCCTGCAAGGAAAATTCCTGGATCCGCCACTGACTCCACATGTTGCCAATTAATTTTGGGTGGTCTCGCATGTTTAGTAATACTTATATTTTGGTTTCTTTATGTTTTTTAAAGAAAAATATCAAGAAAATATATTAGAGTTCGAGAAAGCTGATATTCGAGAATAAAATTTTAAAACTATTGTAAACAATTTATACTATAAATTTTGACGCCTAATTCAATCCATTGAAAATAAATGTTCTAAGTTGAAAAGCTCCATGCAATAATAGAACACGGGGGCAAATTCCATTCTATAAACTTCGGCCTTCTATTTGTCAAAAACTTTGACTTGAAACTTTAGGATTTGTACCTTGAATATCTAAAAAGCAAGTACCATTTCTTGACCGAAGAAAAAAAAACATAAGTACAGTTGAAAATACAATTTATTCTATCTTTCTTGATAAAAATAACTTCTTTAGAAAGGAGAATATAGGGGTGGTTGCATTATATAACTATCCATGTAATAATAGATATTTATTTTATTTCCGTCTTTATTATTCTTTATTTTATTGTTAGGTGAGATATCAACTTCTCGAGAATAAGAGAGAGAGAGACATATGTTTTCTTATGTCTGATTTTATTCTTATTCGTTTATATAATTGAGACAGAAGATTCTTCGGATCTTTCCTGCTCGTCTTCTTTACTTAAAAACAAAAAACAAAAAACAAAAGATAATTAGATCGTTAATACACTTATCTGAGGCCAATACATGTATATTCGATGTTATCCAAAATAAATAAATTTAAAGCCATTTCGAAGTATAAATTAGTAGTTGTACTTTAGTCAACATAGTTCAAATGTCAACGCAGTTTGGCAGATAATTGTCTATGACAAAGGAAAAAAAATATTTCAAATTCATCAGTATTACCAACTGAAATTGTACCAAAAAGGAAAAAAAAAATTATGAACTGAAAATGACTATGGCTAGCCAAAGAATAAAATGGAAAAATTGCATGTGTGCTACTAAATCTATTATAGACGCGTTCCAAAAATTGAACTTGAAAAGTACACAACAAAACCCCTAGCTCTCTCTCTCTCTCTCTCACGAAAAACACTCTTAGCGTCGTTTTTCACTTTGAGGTGGGAGAAAGCCATTGTTCTTCCTTCCCTCTCCCCTCTTCTCTTCCCCTCTTCCTTTCTCTCTTCCTCCCTTCTCACTTTTTTCCCCATTTTTAAAGACAGAAGGTTTACCCTATTTGTCTTCGTTTTGTTATGATTTTCCTCTACTCATCACAGGTGGCTGCGTCTCAGCGTTGGATCTCCACCTGCATTCCGGCCTTGTATCTCCACAACCATCTTTTTTTGCGGTTTTTCTTATGTTTTGAATAAATCGCAGAGACTCTTTAGGTTTTCTGTGTAGTTTTCACCTCTTCTTTTGTGAGAGTTTTATTTGTATTGTTATGGCTTGATTTTTCCAAGCTTTATATATTTTTTTATTGTTTTGAGTTTGCAATCTTAGTTTGGATGCCTACGCCAGAGTTTCTTCGATCATGCGTGATCAAGTGGAGGTGCACCAAATTGTCTTAATTTTGATGTTAAATCACTCTATTATTGAAATGGCCCTTGTGTAACTAGTTTATATTGGTCCTTTGTGGCTAATGACTTTTTTGGATGAATTATGAATACAATCCCAGAATTTCTCAACCAAAAAAAAAAAATCGCGTTCCAACATACATACATACCTAACATGATCAATGTTTGTGCAAATTTCTCATAAGAGGATATTCATGTGTAGATCATTCACCTTTTGAGCTTCTTTTTCTCTCTTCCTCGATTCCTGTAAAACAAATAGGAGTAAAAGACCACCTCCGGGGGTGTTGGCCAAAGGCCTTCCGATGCCTAAATTAGTTCAATTGGATTTCAATTAGAATCAAATCCCTAATTTATGATAATATCACCAAAATAAAATAATATCATAAATTGATGATATTATCTTTTAATTGGTGATTATATTCCCAAATAAAGATAATATCCCATATTTAAGATAGGGTGGTGATTTTCCCACTCCCCTTTTGTCCACTTACACTCCCTTTTGTTTTTTTAATAGTTTTTACTATAACAAAAAAATGGAGTGTAAGTGGACAAAAGAGGAGTGGCAACATACAATTTCTAACATAGGGAGTATAAGTGGATAAAAGAGGAGTGAGAAAATCAGCTCCTTTAAGATAATATCCCCATTTTTTGTATCAATTAATTGGGGAGAGAGAGAGAGAGAGAGAGAAGTTTCGGGGGTTTTAGAGCTAGGTTTCGGATTACCTTGTGTGTTGAATGTGGCTATGTATTTATAGGGTTATAGCCATCTAGGGTTTTTCAAAGAATAATTTCTATTTGAAAGGAAGATATTATTTCCCTTAAATGGTGAGATTGAGTCAATTACGGATTTCAATTAGAATCAAATCCCTAATTGATGATAATATCACCAAAATAAAATAATATCATAAATTGATGATATTATCTTTTAATTGGTGATTATACTCCCAAATAAAGATAATATCCCATATTTAAGATAGGGTGGTGATTTTCCCACTCCCCTTTTGTCCACTTACACTCCTTTTTGTTTTTTTAATAGTTTTTACTATAACAAAAAAAAACGGAGTGTAAGTGGACAAAAGAGGAGTGGCAACATACAATTTCTAACAGAGGGAGTATAAGTGGATAAAAGAGGAGTGAGAAAATCAGCTCCCTTAAGATAATATCCCCATTTTTTGTATCAATTAATTGACCAAATAAATGGGCTCAATTATTGAGCCCATTTATATTCTTCTTGTCCACGTGGTACTTTGTGATTAGAAGCCGGAATATTTGCTTCCACAATCAATTAGCTATTTGTCTTATGATATTTCTTTCTTTTTTTTTGGTAAAAAAAGTTTAGGGGAGGAAGAGAGGTATTTCTTTTTTCAATATTGAAGTAAGTCTCAAATTCAAATCGACTCTTTAGTTTATTGAAAAAAAAAAAAA